AAACAACAAAGTTCGAGTGCTAGACAGTGTGGTCCTGTACTTCGAACAACAAATTTCAGAAGTGATTTGCTTTCAAAACAATTCTGCTCGAATAAGACTTTGTATTTTGGTTATTTCCTACTGTGTTATTTCTTACTTTGTACTTTGTATTGTGTTATTTCCTATTTTTCTGCGGTAGGTTTTTTTAGCGATCCATAAAAAATCGTATGGGTTGTAAATGTGACAGAAGTGTATAGTGAAAGAAAATGAGACCGAGAACTGAATGCAGCGGCCTTCTCTTGAATCGTAGTAGAAGCGTGGATAAGTGTTGCCAGTGCCATCCGGAATGCCAACATCGAAGTACTCACTGGGTACGCCACCGGCCATGTTGTATACTTCGGTTGGAATTGCGCCATTCCTCGAGCATATGTGCACTGCAAATGTCTGCTTCTCGTATTCCATACTATCATCAGCGTTTTACAACTGCGAAGAACATGAAAGAATCAAAGGAAATCAGTTTATATAATGAAGAGAGGGAAAAGGAGAACCGGGGGTGGGGAGGGAGGGGAGAGGGCGATGTGTCCTCAACACACAAACAGCTGGAAGCCCCAGATCGCCAGTTGTTTGACTAGATGGTGGACGCAGTATTGTAGAAATTAGGACAGTTCAGGATTCTTATTTATTGTTGAGATAGTTTCCTCAATAAAAAGATAAATGCCGAACCACAGATAAGATTTGCATGATAAATAAGATTTCTCAGGACAGATAAGATTTACCGTCTCCAGATAAGACAGAAAAGATTTCTCAGCTGTTCGCCTAGAAAAGAGACCCGTCGCTAGAGTAACAGTCAAGAAATGTTATCTCGCTTCCGAAACCTGCCAGCGGTTGAGTGAAGGATTGAAACAAACTAACAGTATGTTGGGCAGCACTGTTGCAATGTGCCCATCGTTGTGCACACGTAATTGCCATTGCCGCAGCCACTGTCGCCCTGGCAGTGCGCCGGTTCCTGCTTTACGCCCGTTGTACGATCTCGATACAGCGGCAAACCGCGATTACAAGCTACAGTCAGTTAAACGCGGATAATGAAAAAAAAACTTTAGATATCCAGCATGCGATTGAGAGATATTGATTTTGTGTTTTTGCATATATGCAAATTACAAAAACGCATATTGGGAAGAGGCTATCTGTGTGTGTGTGTGTGTGTGTGTGTGTGTGTGTGTGTG